TTGAAGTTTGGGGTTTAGGGGTTTGGGGTTTAGGGGTTCAGGGATTTGGGGTTGAGGGGTTAGGAGGGAACCTCAGGCTCCAATCCTTGGCCTCAACAACTTTCGGGACCCTCTACTTGGAGGTTCATGGGGAGTTATAAGTAGGGATATAAGTAGGATAACTATACTTATAACCCATATTAGGGGACTTATAACCCCACTAAAAACTAGCCATGAACCTCCAAGTAAAGGAAGCCGAAGAGCCCTGAAGTGCCGAGGCTTCGCGACTTCCTTGACCACTGCCGCCAGCTTTTTGGCGAACATGGCTTCTGCCCGGGCCCCCGGTGCCGCCGATTTCGGAATTAGGAGCGTCGGATTTAGGGCTTCGGAATGCTTCGGAGTTTAGGGCTTACTTGGAGGTTCATGGGTAGTTTTTAGTGGGGTTATAAGTCACCTAATATGGGTTATAAGTATAGTTATCCTACTTATATCCCTACTTATAACTCCCCATGAACCTCCAAGTAGGACGCTCTGAGGCTTGCAGGACTTGGGGTCGTGGGGTGGCCGGCTGAGGGTTAAAAGGGGTTTAAAAGCCCTTAGCCGCAACTCCTGAGCCCCCAAAACGCTCCAAGAAGCACCAGAACCCAAAACCCCCCAAACCCTAAAGCCAAACAAGCAACCCGGAGAAGACGCCAAAGCAGGAACCTGCTTAAAGGAACCCTTAAGTGCTACCCATAAGCCCAAAATCCACACCAAACCCTAAACCCTAAGCCCAAAATCCACACCAAACCCTAGCCTAAACCCTAAGCCCAAAATCCACACCCTGTCCCCTAGGTTCCACGCGAAGGCCCTCGTAAAATAATCGCTACAGATCCCGAGGCCCCGTTCTAGGGTTTAGGGTTTAGGGTTAAATCCCTTACTGAATCCTAAACCCTAAACCCTTAAACCCCAAACCCGTAGCCCCGAAACCCCGAAACCCCTAAAACCGCAAACCTCTAAACCCCAAAGCCCCAACCCTCAAAACAGAAAAATCCCCTAACCCTCAAAACAGAAAAATCCCTTAACACCCAAAACAGAAGAATCCCCTAACCCCCAAAACAGAAAAATCTCCCTAACCCCCCTAAACCCTAAACCCTAAACCCTTAAAAATGAAAAATCCCCTCCTCAGGTTCTCCAACCCCTCCGGGAGTTCGGCTTCTTCATGGGCCGGGCCCTCGAAAGATCAGCGCCTTCTATGGGGGCTCAGGGTTTAGGGCTGGGGGTTTAGGGGTTTAGGGGTTCAGGGTTTAGGGGTCTAGGGTTTAGGGTTCAGGGTTTAGGGGTTTAGGGTTTAGGGATTTAGGGTTCAGGGAGGGGTTTGGGGGTTGAGGGTTTAGGGTTTAGGGGTAGGGTCCGTGTGGAAGGTTTCAGGGGTATGGGATTGGGATCGCGGTGCCTTTGGGTTGTTTAGGGTTTGCCAACATCCCAAGTCCTAAGCCCTGCAGCGTTTGAGGGGTTTTGGGTGCAGGGTTTAGGGTCTGGGGTCGTGTAAGTGACAAATTCCGGTAAAGCCCGGTTGAGGTATTTTAAACACACTAACCACTGCCCATGAAGCCCCTAAACCCTATTGAGGAGGACAACCACATTCGTAACGATTGTAGGGGGTCAGACTAACTAGCAAAATGTCCACTTCCAGTCCCCCTGTCTATCTATCTATCTATCTATCTATCTTTCTATCTATCTATCTATCTATCTGTGTGTCTGTCTGTCTGTCTGTCTGTCTGTCTGTCTATCTATCTGACCATCTGTCTATCTGTCTATCAGCCTGTATCTATCTATCTATCTATCTGTCTATCTGTCTATCTATTTATCTGGACCCCTACATTACCTTCAAGCCCTCAGCGCGAAACCCTAAATAAGCCCCTAAACCCTAAACCCTAAACTCCTAAACCCCAAACCCTAAACCCTCTACCCTAGACCCGAATCCCGAAACCCTACCTCGCCCTTTCTTTGCGGGCAAGGCCTCTGTGTCCTCTGGGTCTTTGTGGCAGCCTCAGCTTGGCTTCGGGTTTGGGTTGAAGGTGTGGGGATTTAGGGATTTAAGGGCTTCCGGTCTTCAAGTTTCGGGGTTTACGCTGTGTTGAGGGTTTAGGGTCTAAGTAGGAGGTTCAGCAGGTTTGGGTTTTTCGGGTGGACGTGTGTGAGCATCTATTTCCAGTCGAGATGGGGTGTGAGGGTGATGGGGCTTCCGGGTGTGAATTTTGATGTACGGCTGTTGTGGTTGAAGGTCAACTTCTTGTGCCCTGTGGATCATGGCGACATGCAGAAGCTGGGTTCAAGTCAGGTCGAAAGCGACCCTGATCCCCAAACTTCCGCAGTTCTGCCAAGGAAGGTTTCCCTCCCCGAGGCGCCAAGATGGATCCTGGGGCGCTCTCGAACTCCTTGCGAGCTGCCGCCAAGCTGCAGGAAGCAGAGCCGGAGGTCCTACAGACGGTGCCATCACTCGCAAGGTGCATACCAGAGACGGTTGAAAGCATGATTCCTCAGCACCTGTCGGACTGCCTTTGGGCTGCCGCGCGTTTGCAGGGATTAGAGCCGGAGGTCCTCAAGGCTGTGCCAGCACTCGCCAAGCACATACCGCAGAGGAGTCTCGACATGAAACCTCAGCACTTGTCGAACTGCCTTTGGGCTGCCGCCAGGCTGCACGAATCAGAGCCGCACGTTCTCGAAGCTGTCCCATCACTCGCCGAGGGCATAGTGCAGAAGGTGGAGAGCATGGACCCCCAGGCAATTTCGAATTGTCTTTGGGCGGCCACATGTCTGCACGAGTCAGAGCCGCGGGTCCTTCAAGCTGTCCCATCACTCGCGAAGTGCATGCAGACGAAAGTGGAAAGCATGAAACCTCTGCACTTGTCGAACTGCCTTTATGCTGCCGCCAAGCTGCACGAATCAGAGCCGCACGTTCTCGAAGGTGTCCCATCACTCGCCGAGGGCATAGTGCAGAAGGTGGAGAGCATGGACCCCCAGGCAATTTCAAATTGTTTTTGGGCGGCCACGTGTCTGCACGAGTCAGAGCCGCGGGTCCTTCAAGCTGTGCCATCGCTCGCCAAGTGCATAGCGCAGAAGGCGGAGCGCATGACCTCTCAGCAGTTGTCGAACTGTCTTTGAGCTGCTGCAAAGCTGCAAGAAGCAGAGCCGGAGGTCCTGAAGGCTGTGCCATTGCTTGCAAAGTGCATAGTGCAGAAGGTGGTGAGCATGGAGCTCTCTTCATTGTCCAACTGCCTTTGGGCTGCTGCAAAGCTGCAGGAAGCACAGCCAGAGGTCCTGAAAGCAGTGCCGTCGCTCGCCGAGGGCATAGTTCAGAAAGTGGAAAGCATGGACCCCAAAGCAATTTCAAATTGTCTTTGGGCTGCCGCCAAGCTGCACGAATCAGAGCCGCACGTTCTCGAAGCTGTCCCATCACTCGCCGAGGGCATAGTGCAGAAGGTGGAGAGCATGGACCCCCAGGCAATTTCGAATTGTCTTTGGGCGGCCACATGTCTGCACGAGTCAGAGCCGCGGGTCCTTCAAGCTGTCCCATCACTCGCCAAGTGCATAGCGCAGAAGGCGGAGCGCATGACCTCTCAGCAGTTGTCGAACTGTCTTTGGGCTGCTGCAAAGCTGCAAGAAGCAGAGCCGGAGGTCCTGCAGGCTGTGCCGTCGCTCGCAAAGTGCATAGTGCAGAAGGTGGCGAGCATGGACCCCTCTTCATTGTCCAACTGCCTCTGGGCTGCCGCCAAGCTACAGGAAGCAGAGCCAGAGGTCCTGAAAGCGGTGCCGTCGTTCGCAAAGTGCATGCTCCAGAAAGTGGAGAGCATGGAGCCCTCTTCATTGTCCAACTGCCTTTGGGCTGCTGCAACGCTGCAGGAAGCAGAGCCGGAGGTCCTGAAAGCTGTGCCATCGCTCGCAAAGTGCATAGCGCAGGAGGCGGAGCGCATGACCTCTGCACAGTTGTCGAACTGCCTTTGGGCTGCTGCACGCCTGCACCTGTCAGAGGCATCGGACGTCCCCAACTTCTTACCATCGATTGCCTCCAAGATTCTTCGGACAGCAGCTGCCATGGCAGTACGAGATCTGGAGGCGGAAGTTTCTCTAGAATTAAATTAGGCTCTGTTAAGGAGTCCGGATCCTACAGTGCCAAGTCTACGTATCAGGGATTTTCTAAGATTTTCGATGGATCCAACTACTACCTATTGATTGGGGTCCATCTTTAGGGTATACATCACTGTTTCAATGGTACATCAGAACCATTATGCCACTTTCAGTTCTTCTTCCTAGAAAGCAGGGTATTTTAGGGTTTACCTATAGTCTCCATTGTAGTTCCTTTTTGGGGTTGCCTTTTGGGATCCTTAATATAGAATTGGTTAAACCCCAAAAAGGAACTACAATGGAGACTATAGGTAGGGTTCTCTGAAATTGCCTTAAACCCTAAACCCTAAACCCCTGAAATTGCCAGGCGTCCGCGTGGGCAGCGCGTGAGCTTGGCGAGTTCGACTTGGAAGCGGCGCTGCAAGGAGAGATCGCGCGGCGCAACGTCTACAGTAGACTCTAGAGTTTTGTTTCTGAGGGTTTAGGGTCTAGGGTTTAGAGAGTTTTGTTTAGGGTTTGGGGGTTTGAAACGGTTTGGAGTGTTTTAGAGAAGGAATGGATGAAGGTTAGTGCTATGATTCTTTTCTTCTGAACTGATAGTGATGTTGAAGAAATGTTTGGTCCGAATGTAGGCAAGAGGTATGGGTTCTCGCGATTTATTGCACAAGAGTTGCACCAGACGTGTACAGAGTCCAACGGGCATGCGTGTGGTCCCGTGGACGGCAGACATTGCTCAGAGAGCCCAATTCTACCCGAAATCACCAAATATACTTCAAATCATAAGCAGATGCCCGACATGTTTTACAGTCCTCAATTACGGGTTTTTGGGCTCTCTCGGCATCTGCTAGAGCCACCGTGCGGGGCAGTGCAGTGCTCCTCCAGAGCACGGCTGCACCTGGAGTGCAGGGACACGGTAGGCTGTGGTCGTTGCAGCCGTGTTTGGGGCAGAAAGCTGGAGGTTGCCATAGAAGCCCGACATAATTACCATTTTTATGGTTTGGGTTTCTTTCTTATAACTATACTATAAAGGAGCCCAACACCCTATTCTCATTATTAAGGCCCCTACGTTAAGTATGAATCCTGAGTCCCACCCGTAGGGAGCCTTACTACGATCCTTGTAGAACCCTGACCCCTGAACTCCCTCCTCTCCTCAACTTGGCAAGATGGGGGGCGCCATTAATTCAAAATTATTATTGCTGAGGGCTCCTTATTATGGCATAATCCATAATCTTCTCGTACCCCAAAGCCCTAGATCCAGCAAAGCTCAGGAAGCTGCCATGCACTCGCCGGATTCGACAGGCTTTCCTCACGCGGTTTAGGGTTTATGGTTTAGGGTCAAGTATTCAGTAGCTGAGTGGCGAACCACGAACCCTTTTAACTGTGCGTCGCATAATATGATCCCTCCAGAGTTGAAATGTTGTTTTTTTTGCGAAGGACCCCAGCAAGTGGCGATGGCATCCACTTCGATTGGGAAGGTGATAAGAACGGAAGAAGACCCTCAACGCTAAACCCTAAACCCCAAACTAAGCCCTAAACCCTAAGCTAAGCCTCAAAGCTGAACTAAACCTTCAACCCTAAACTTTAAACCCAAAGCCCGAAACCTTAACCCTAAACCCCCAAAGCCTGAACTCCAAAGCCTCATGCAGACCCCTGGTGGGATTTGTTCGTTGTTCGAAGTGAGGGAGGAGTTCGACACCTGCTTTTCGGGTATGAAGCTCTTACAGGGTGCCGATCTTAGGGTTTAGGGTTTGGGGCTTAGGGCTTTGGGTTTAGGGTTTAGGGTTCTAGATGCCCCTAAAGTGCTCCACCCTGAAAAAGGGCCGTCGCTTGGAACAGCCCTTGCCACCGAGGTGCTTATCGCTGTTTACCTCCCGTGCGCGACCTGGATGGTTCAGGTTGTGACGGTTGCAGGTATGTAGGGGTTTAGGGTTTAGGGTTTAGGGGTTTAGGGTTTAGGTTTCATCAGAGTATATGGCTTGTTCAAAAGTTTCAGGTTTCAGCTTCAGAGAGAGGTCCTCTCGAAAGCGCAGAAGGTCTAAACCCTAAACCCGGAACCCCAACACTTAGAAATCCCAACCCCCCAAACCCTAAAGCCTAAAGGCCCTAAGAGCACTAAGGCCCTAAACCCTAAACCCAGAAACCCAAAAGAGCTTAAAACCCCAAGTGCCAAGCACTAAACCTTAATCCGCACACCCTGAAGCCTAAGTGTAATGTATGGGCCCAACTAATTACCAACACTATTTTGGCGGTTCCTTATGATAATTTTCGTATAATTTGCTCCAAAACCATATTCTAATTATTAAGGCCCCTATATTTAAAAAGGTGTAGTGTTCTGATGCCCGAGACCCAAAAGCCGCGGCATGCAAGAAGGTTTTCACAGTGCCCCGAAAATCCCTACTTGGAGGTTCATGCGTAGTTCTAAGTAGGGTTAGAAGTAGGATAACTATACTTATAATCCATATTGGGGGACTNNTACCCATGAACCTCCAAGTACCTCTCTACGCTTCCGTTTAATGACTCCCGATTCAAAGAATCGGGGGGTTGATGTAGGTGGCGGACTTTCAATCCTCAGCCATGAACAGTACAATCCTCAACTGATCAAATAACCCCTGCCCTAGCCCTAACCCTATATCCCTAATTCATTTTTACTTTCTTTAAATATAACCCTAAATCCCAAATTCATGTTTAAATGTAGCCCTAAACCCTGCAGACAGTGAGTCCGATTGAAGAGGCGAGCCTCGACCCCAAACACCTCAAGCCGAGGACCCCTCCAAGCGCCCTTTGGGAAAGCCCTTGTGGCTTTTAACACTCAGAGTTTAGGGTTTAGGGTTTAGTGAGTATTAAGGCTATAATACAGGGTAGTTGGAGGGAAGAGGTAGTGGTGGTAGCCTGCAGTTAGGGCTGTAGCGTGCAATTTGGGGTTTTGGATTTCTGAGCCCGGACCTGAATCATCTAAGCCCTTTAAGTGACGGGTGCTCACCGGGCTTCAAAAGGGTTCGTCCAGTAGTATAGAGGTCTTTATCATGGGCTCATTATCGTTTGCGAAACCTGAAGCAAGTGTGCCACGATGCTCGACTCATTTTATTTTGCTTTGGTTTGTACATCGGGCTGCTAATTGAAAGAGACCCTAAACCCTAAACC